GGGTCAGGCAGGAACACGTCCAGGCGGGTTGGAAAGTGTCCAGAGAAGGAGACTCCGCGCCCTCCCTGCGCAGCCTGGGCCAGGGCTCTGTTAACGCTGTGGGTCACAAAACCCCAGGAAGGAACAAAACCCCAACACCCTCACCTCCCCCCAAACGCACCCAAAGCTGCGTTTCTCAGTTCGAACACGGTAACGGACTGTCGTGTTTTGCAGAGTGCGGGCAGCGGCCGCTCTTTTCCAACTTCTCCATGTCCCGCGTCGTGGGTGGGTACGACGCCCAGGCCGGGGCGTGGCCGTGGACCGTCAGCCTCCAGTTCCGCCGCGCGCACGCCGGCTAGCGGCGGCGTGCTGGTCGAGGAGAACGCGGTGCTGAGCGCTGCCCACTGCGTGACGGGAAGGGAGTACGTACCCGGGGTAACGCCTCGTGGTCTGACCGCGAGGAGGGCAGGGTGGAGCAGTGAAGCGTCACCTGTGGTATCTCAGAACAAAAGGCAAATAAATAATAAACAGGACTTATGTGGACCGAGCTCTCGTAGCGCGGGACCCATGTGCAGACCCAAACGACGCAACTCCCGTTTTCCGAGGGCCTGTGGCTCGAAGGACCAACCGGGCGTCCCCTCTTGCCACCTCACGGGATGTGAAGTTACCTCTTTATGAGTCAGTGTCAAGAAGTCTTGCATTCATGCTTCTGGCCCAGAACAACCTTTCTTATTTTTAAAAAAGGGTGTGATCAAGGGGGAATTTCTGTTAGGTCAGGGCTTTTATTACTCCATGGAGCTGTAACCTGTCTGATTAATAGATTTTTCTCACCTGGTGAAACTCACTGAAAAGAACAAAAGTTGCACTATTTAGATGAGAAACGTTACAATTCATTACTTTTCCGATTATTTCCATTTCCCCCTGTTTAGTAGAACTAACAATGTGGCACTTTTTTTTTGTCAAGGTGGTAACAACACTCGTAAGAACAGGCCTTTTAACTGTGCTTGCAGCAATCCTGCTGCACTTTGGCCTCCTCATTGCTGTTGTCTTTAACACAGCTGCAAACAACTAGTTCATGCAAGTTTGTCCTGGTGGTGTTGACATAACCATGACCCGAGGGAAACTGAATTGTAAAAATCTCTGGACTTTGGAATTTCGTCACCTATCAGCACTTTGTTAGATCAGCTCCTTGTTTCTCTCATTGCGGTTTTACAAACAGTAGATTAGAGAGGCATTATAACATGAATAATCAATTCAACTTTTATCTTGCACTCTGGAGACTTTGGGAGGTTGATCTGAACTTTATAGCCTGTCCCTTGCTCATCACAGGCCAAGTTCAATTCCCACTTAATATCAGTAAAGATTTTTTTTCAACATACTCAAATAGAAATTAGGTCTGAAAGACTCTGGCCCTATTTCTAAATTTACTATTAAGTTGATATTCGTAATTTCTAGCTTCTAGTTAATGGATTTCGCAAATCTAGGTACGAGCGCAGCATCTGTAAGCATTGTGGGTATAAGCCTAACTCCTTTACGCAAAATTAATCCATCTTTTTATATTTTTTCTCCGGGGTGGCCTCCACTGAGAAGGGATGGGAAGCAAAATTTAAGTATCAGCTTAAATCATTAATCTGAATTTGCCTGATGCCAGTTATGGCTGTTAAGGCAAACTGAGCGTTCAGCACAGACAGAAGGGTAATTTAGCCAGATTTGTTCCAGAGTACGTTTACGACAGAGTTTTCAACGTACGTTCCTCAAAGTGCATAAGACAATGCGGTAAAACAACCAGTTAAAACAAAGCCAAGAAGCAGCGTGTTTCCTTTAACATAATCGTAAAAAACTCCATGAATTTTCTTGTAGGGACCCACGCACCTGGAGAGCCCTTTTGGGCACGAATAACCTTTGGAAACCTGGCAAACACGCGGCAAAAAGAAGGATCAGAAACATCATCGTGCACACGGAGTTCAAGAGAGAAACGCTTGAAAACGACATCGCGCTCTTGGAGCTGGGTTCGGCAGTGCCCTACAGCAGCTACATCCAGCCCATCTGCTTACCTCCCGCCCACCTTCACCCGCGCGTCGAAAACGAAACCGAGTGCTTTGTCAGTGGCTGGGGACGAACGGCAGA